AATAGTCCTTCGGCGGCACTCGATGACGTAGTATCCTTGAAATATTGGCTTGGAAGCCAGTTTCCTCGCGATTGAGAAACGGCCAGTGTGTTTGAGCACAACCACGGCGGAATATTACTGCCAAAAGTCACGTGAGTGAGTCACGTGACTTTTGGAAGTAATATTCCGCCGTGAGAAGAAAAAGCGTTGTATTTGTAAAAAAAAAGTGATGAATTTGTAAAAAAAGTTGTGTAGTTGTAAAACCTAATTTGTCTCTGAAATTTGATTTATTAGAAAAATGCTATGTGTTTGTTTGATAGATACGTTGTTTCTTTGCTAAACTAAATGCATTAGTTTGTAGATGGTGTTTTGTATTTGCAAGCCACATTGTGTTTGTTAGTGAATCATGAGACATTTGTAAAACCTGTTTAGGTTAGTTATGGCAGGAAATTAGCTCCATATAGAAAACCCACCTGTTTTATGCACACACTTCCCATTTCTGAATAACTCTTAAAATGGCTTGGCTCATTTGAAGCTAACGAGGATTCTTGTTGTTCTGAATGTATATCCTCATGGTTCATGTTCATTGCACTCTAATTTGCTTTCTTTGAAAGCATCAGCTAAATTAAGTGTAATGTGTATGAACACAATACAACTTTTGGCTCAACACAGGTATTCCAGACTTTTTCATAAAACTACTTAATAAAGGCTATTTTAGTTTTCTTGGGTTTTTGGATTTAACTCTAAACCAAACATTATGACCATTAAAGGGTCAGTTACTCATATTATTAATTTGCCCCAAGGGTGTTCAGTGAATTATACAGGGTATTGGGGCACTGTTTTTGGAAAAGCGATGCTGTTGAATTTTTCCAAGCTGAAAGATGCCAAGATAAAGAATGCCAAAAAACGACGGTGGCCGGCAGGTGCAAACGCTAAACAACGGCCAAAAACACACACATAAGCAGGAAACACCTGCAAATAACGCTGCATTTACAGAAATGATGCAAGCTAAACCTACAACACACAAACCCCGAAAACAAACGCAACAGAAAAATGCTGCAAATACAAAAACGATATGCAAAGTCAAAAGCACATACAACCGAAAAACACATTACAAAAAAAAAGACATTACAAAAAAAAAACATTCCGGAAGTGCTCCAGGCCTCTAGGGGGCGCGCTACGTGGAACAGATTGATGTATGACCAGACATAGAGAGAACGAACAAGAGTGATGGAAATCGGGAGGAAAGAAAGTTCATTTAAGTGGAGAAAGATATAAGAAGGTAAGTTTTGTTTTGTTTTTATACATAGAGCGTCATATTTATATAGCTAGTTAGCGTGCCTAAATACTACACCAGCTGAGGAGAGGAGAGCTTCACGTGAAGAGAAGATAAAGTGAGGGAAGAACATTGTTAAAAGAGGTGACAAATCAAGTGTAGTCAAATAACCCGGGCCATAGTGAGTACCGCGGAAAAAGGACATTTGAATTCTTAGCAGTTTGTTTATATGTATGTATTTGTGTATAGATGTTGCAACTATACAGAGCTTTAGCAATTGCCTGTAACTATGGTCATGCTAATAAAGCTATTGAATTGAATTGAGAGAGAGAGAGAAGTGACAAAATGTGAAGAGGGACAAAGTAATGACAGGATAGTAGTGTGCATTAGACATGCTCAAGAACAAATATAGAGAAGACATTCAAGGAGAGAGAGAGGACAAAACACAGATTCAACGATAAACATGATGTATCTTTCTATTTATTTAGCTAACCACTATTTAGACTATGTGTTTTTGATTGACTTGATTAAATGGATTTACTACATCAATGTATGTCTTTTCAGGCTGCCATGTTTTGTCCTTTCTGTGGCCAACATCTGGGGACAGTTCAAGTGTTCTGTGGCTCCTGTGGCAAAAATGTACAGTTTTTGGCAGAAGTTGAACACAACAGTAAGTTCACTTTTTTTATTGTATCTGTTTCAAATGCAAGAAATAAGGAGTCAACACACTACTCTGTTTAGAATACTAATTGGCAGATGCATACACTAGTTATCAGCATGAAGGACACATTTTTTCATTGTCTGTTTATGTGAAATATGTAGAAGCCATCATTAAATTGTAGACCAATGCATGATTAAATACACAACACAGCCTATAGTTTACATTCATAATTGTGTATTAGTTCTATCTTTATAGAGAACATTATACATTTAGAATCAGATTTTGAGACAGTGAGCGGCTGGGAAAGTCACACCACCATGGGGCACAAACAGTTGCTGACGTGATGTTTTCTTCGCATTCTCAGGCATTCCATAAGGAGGGTCAGGAACTCACGCTTGGGACCACCAGTGTCCCCTCCATCCTCAGTGTGTCCCTCATCATCAGTGAACTTAACTGACATCTCATGAGAGCGATCTAATGAGGCACCTTTGAAGCCACGGGTTGCTCCATCCCACACATTGGCTCTATTCATATTGAACCTGCTGCAAGATGTATTTGTTCTTTTTGCAGAGAGTTCTGCAACAATTTCCTCCGCAGTCAGGTATTCTGTGCTGGAAAAGACAAAGTGATGTATTGTAATATTAAATGATGAAGCTAGTAATAAGATTTACAGTATAGAATAGAAAAATTAAGTGGTAATAGTAACAATTAATACCTTTGCTCCATTTTGTCTTCTGGCTCAGACTGGCTATCAATAATGATAAGTGCATACACATTTGTGTAGTTGCTGCAGTGAGAAGACAGTTGAATAATTATTTTCAAATACATAATATATGCATGACAGTCATATTTACAAAAGGATGTCGATCCTCTTGTTTTTTTTTTAATACATTGGGTTCTAAACTGACAACAGCACTTTTGTTATACTCCTGCACAATCCTTGTAAACATTTGAAATGGATGCAAGAAACAATATCTGATCTTTGAAAAATATTTGTGGGTGTTTTTTGTATCGTCTTCACTAAGATGTAAGATGTTGTGGGTGTCATTTGGAAATGTATAAAAGTATAATTGTTCTGCTTCCTGGCAATGTTACCCATGTTGGAGGCTATACAAACAAACACATGTAAAAATAAAGATACACACCACACAACTGTGTCACGATGCAACTGTCAACATCATTTACATTACATCACATTGCATTTAGCTGAGGCTTTTATCCAAAGCTACTTACAGTAAGTGCATTCGACCAAGAAGATACAAACGAGAAGAAAACAGAATCATATAAGTACATCAGGTTTCATAGAGCCAAAACATTTCAAGTGCTACATGGCTTTAGATAACCCAGTCCTTTGTTGGTACATAAGTGCTTTGTTAGTAATTGTATCGCTCGAAGGGGAGTCGAAAGAGATGAGTTTTCAGTCTGCGCCGGAAGATGTGTAAGCTTTCTGCTGTTTACCTATAGAGGTTGTTCTGACCCGTGGCAGATTGGACCTCTTCCTTGAATGGGGTTGGTTCTCCATCCTGTTTTTACCCAGGAAATAAGTGCGGTTGATCTAATGACAGTGTCATTAGTACACAAATGTATTTATTGATTTCATGTTCACAAATTCAAACCTACATGGTATAATTACATTTTTCTTAATTAGTCTTTCCCGATCAGACGCTGGTTGTGGGTGCCTGAGAGGTCTGATAAAGGTAAATAAAAAATATATTCAAACTACTGTACTGTTAAAACATTCTGCTTCTTGTGGCACAAAATAATATGTTGACAATGTTTTATTTTACCCTGGCAAACTTGTCGATTCTTGGAGTGCTCACTTTTTGAACATTTGGATGTTAACACAAATGACTGACTGGAATAAAAATAAATTCACTTTAATTAAGAATAAATGTCAATCCCTTTATCCCTTACATGATAAAGGGATTGATTTTTTACACGAGGCAGCACCTTTAATCTCTTGCTTAAACTCAGGCTTAACTTT